GGCCCACATTAGCTGTATGTTTGGGGCTTTAGGGCTTAAGGTTGCAATTGCAATGCTTCAGGGTTTTGGAATACAAGTAGTGCTTCGGGATTTTCTGCTTTCAGGTGCGAGCTACTTTATTTTTGATTTCGGCATGTGTCGCTCCTGTTCCACGAGGTCTTGTTGTGGTGAACCCACGCCAAGCCCTGAAACCCTTAAAGCCCCTGAAGCCACGAGCCCCAACTCCCGAAACCTCTCCACCTGCGACACAGATCCCCTTAGAAGTCGAGAGCCTCAAGCCCTGAAAACCCTAATTAGAAATCCTGAATCCGTCGAACATCCGTTTGTTGAGTTTGTTGATCTCGCCGGACACCTGGAGCTGGCATTGGCTAGTGTGCCTTCAGGTGCTGCTGCAACTACGGTGACGGCAGACCATGCCAACGCCATCATGCTGACCTTCATAAAGTCGTACCACAACGATGCTTCGGAACGACCTGATGAGTGGCTTGAGTTGGCGAGGATTAACTATTGTCACCACGGAGGAGACCGGTTACGTTCCTAAGAGATTTGTTGATGCTGAGATTGGGATTGCAGCGAGTGCGATTCAGCCCTCCAGAATCCTTGTCCTCATCATCATCATCATCATCATGATCATCATCCTTATCGTTATCGTGTCCTCAATAGCAATGGGAGCGATCGTTGTAATGTATGGCGCGCAGCCAAAATGCTGCTAGATAGTAGAGCCAGCGCCCACTCAAGAAAACGCTTGTTTGCTCGGAATGTAAGCAGAATTCACACCATATTGTACCGCAGAGTTAGCTTGTCATAGGCTCCTTTACATGCTAGGATGTCTTACTGGTTGCTGGGAGAGACTCCGCAAATTCCTCAAATGCACGCAGCTCACTTGTTGAAGTCGTGGCTGTGTCATTTAGACTGGCATATAATAGATATCCGTTTGCTGGCTCTTGTGGCTGATGTTGTTGCAGGCAAGAACTCAATCAACAATAGTTGTTGACCCCAAGTACAGGCCCTAAGCCCTGAACCCGGAACCCGTACAAGTACTTTTAAGAACCCTTTGTGGCAGCCATAGTTCAGAACCCCTCTCAATACCCAGCAAAAGATCTTAAGCATAGAGAAGCCCTTGTACACAAAACAAACTACCCCCGTGATTTAGACCCTGAACCTCTATACTCTTCATGTAGCCCTTAGTTTTAACCCCTGCATCAGAGCCCTTATAAAGGCCTCTGGCTTCTTCCACGCAGTTTAGCTCGTAAAGCCTAACCCTCAAATATCCGACCCTAAACCCATCGAGCCCTAAACCCCTAAAGCCCCTAAACCTTTAAACCCTAAACCCCTAAAGCCCCTAAACCCTGAGCCCCTAAACCAGAAGCGATGAAAGCCAGGATCCTGCTCGTCCCTTCGTGGAGATTAGCCTCCAGGACCGGCCCCGAGCCGGCCCAACAGTCTGGCGTTTTGGGTCTCGGGGTGTAGGGTACTACTATATAGGGTTCAATAGGGGTATATCCTACGACGAGGATTCCTGTCCCTAATAAGAGTAGGGGTTTAGGGTTTGGGTTTACAGCTTAGGGTTTCGGGTTCAGGGTGCAGGGTGTAGGTTTTTGGGGGCAGGGCTCATTTTCAGGGTGTAGGGTTCAGGGTATAGCATCCCTCTTTACAGTCCTCATAAATCTGTTTATGGCTTCAAGCACAGCCGTATACGTAGTAACTGGTATCCCTTTGGCAAAACGGACCCCGAAACGCTTTAAAACCTGCTTGAAGACCCTAAACCCTAAACCCCTTGAAGGATTAAAATGGGACTTACTAACTTAAATAGGGATCCCCCTAGGCTTCCATAACCCCAAGGGTCCCAGGGTACCCATATGGGAGTTTCCGAAAAAAAGGGGTACCTTATTTTGGTGTCCTTTAAAGGGGGACTATAAGGGTACTATAAGGGTTCCTTTAAAGGGCTCTATAAGGGTTTAGGGTTTCCGAAAATGAGGGGAGTACCTTATTTTGGGACCCCCTATTTTCGGAAACTCCCATATAGAGATACATGAGCCCCAAAGTGCCTACATAGGGACTACATTAAGGCCAATGTATATACTATAGGAGTACATGGACCCTTAGGGTATAAGGGATCTGTAAGGGTGCAGGGTTTTTTGGATCAGGGCCTTCGTAAGTAGTAAGTCAGGCAACAATAGTCACATTTAATGACCCTATTTACCACATTCCCTGAACCTCTGCCTACCCAAACTCTATGTGGGGTCCCGGGCTTTGGGTTCAGGGCTTTAGGGCTTTAATACTTAGGGAGTTTGCTTCAATAGTTGAGGGCATCATGTAAAGAGTTGAAAATTCGGAATAAAGATCAAAATCTGTGGACATTATTGCGATGCCACAGGCCGTTCACAGGATATTTGTAGGCCACGGCTTCGGGGACAAGGGCGTGGGCATGTGGGAGTTTCCGAAAATAGGGGACCCTAATATAGTACCCTAGATAGTGGGATCCTTAGCATAAGGACCCCCAAAAAAAGGTACCCCTAATTTTTGGAAACTCCCATGTGCTTTCTGAGGACTTGAAGTGTTTAGGTTGGAGTCTCTCGGCCTCTTGGCTATCAAAGGGGAAAAGGAGGGACCCCTAATAAGGACCCGTAGGTATATACCCATAATAAAGCCATTATATACCCATCTAAATTCAAAGGGGAAAAGGAGGCCCTTAATGGGGACCCCGACACTTTAATGGGCTACATAATGGGTCTATAATAGCTATATTAAGGGTATATACCTAGGGGTCCTTATTAAGGGTCCCTCCTTTTTCCCTTGGATTGGCTATGTTGCAGGGATCTTTACTGAGGCAGCGCTTCACCAAAAACCCGAACCCTGCAGATCCGTGATGTATATACCCCCTCTCCACAGGAATCGACAATTCACACAACACCTCACTCTTACAGCTCAGTTTAGGGTTTAGGGTTTAGGGAAACCTGTATTATCCAAAGGAGCTCAGGGACCTGATACAAAACGGAAGAAGAAACCACGTGAACCCCGAAACCTGAGATTGAAAGCCTTACGTTGTACTCGTGCATAAACCCTGAAGAAGCCCATGATAAGTCTGCTTTAAGCCTAGACATAGACACACACACACACACACACACACACACGCTATGTGTATATAGTTGTATACATATATATATATATACAGTATCTTACCTACTGTCTTCATGTATCTAATTTCTTTGAAAGTATACGAAGAGACCCTGAGAGGTGGGGCAACCCAACCTCGGCGTGGATGGGCGCTTAGCCGCCTTTGGTCGCCGCTATCTGCCCAGGGCCCATTCAGGCGTCTTGTTGTGTCGTTTAGGGCTTGGGTTTGAGGTCTTAGGGCCTTGCAGAAGGTTCTACAGGCTGGCTAGACGTCTGTTGTGGTTGTGGCATGATCCTAGCTGTGAGCTTTTGGCATGTCCGGGTTGACCTGCTGACCCATTTACTGACTCGGTTCCACCGCACAGCGGAAAGGCAAACAACCGGCGCACTGATGCTGGCTACCCCTTAGAGAAAGGCCCCATTGACAACTCAGAATTTCGTGGTTCAGCTACTCTATTCGATGGCATGTTTTCGGAGGCTGGTATTGTTGGAGAGTGCAGGCTTAAGGAATTAGCTGGAGCGCGGGATGGGCAGGAGTTGTAGCTAGTCCTCCCATTCTCGAGGACATCTGACTTTGCGGCTGACCTCATGTGGAGGGGACTGCGCTGTCAGACCCTGCCACAGCCCCAAACTCCAATCCTGCAAGTCCCGAAAGCACTGCCCACATGAGGTTCCAGAAAAATGTGCATCATGCCTCATGACCGCAGCCACTGCTATCTCGACGACCAGAAGCATGCTGCAGAGGACGCAGGCAAACTCAACAAGACTCATTCCACCAAGACTTGATGCGATTTTGGTAAAGGCGATCTTTTGTCTTGGCACGGAGAGTTGCCTGTCCCCCAACATTCCCGATCTTAAGCACGTCCAGCAGGTTCTTAAAAAGCTTGGAGCAAGCATCATCCTAGTTTTAAAACCTAAGCATCCTAAACCCTAAACGATGAACTTTGGCAGCCCGCATGGTGCCAACAGCTGCTTCCACCATCTCTAAGCCAGGTCTATCCGAGGCACCCGGCCAGAACGACGAATCCTGCTCCAGCGATGACAACAATAATGAATAGCAATAAAAGACATATTAATCACCCATAATACTAACAACGAAAATTATTCGTAAGAGCAATCACAGTAACAGTCATAAGAACAATGACAGCAATGATATTCTCGCAATAATAATCTGAAGAGGTTCCTCCAGAGGGTTATTTACAAAGGAGTCTGTCATTTGAGAGATGGGGCATGCATGGATGGGGTTCGTAGACTCAGGGACTCCAATATCCTTAAATGAAGGAATATACCTGAAATCATATGGGGGATCCTACGATAGTTTAGTGGATATTCCTTAATTAAGGGGTATTGGAGTCTCAAGCTCAGGGAAGGAGCCGTAAGAATCTGGCAACAGATTTGGACCTGAGCCTGCTATAGTTTTGTAACCGTGGCAAGGGAATGATCTCAGATATTCGATGAAGAACCAGTTTGTGTGACGTGATGTCGGGGTGTCTGAGGGCACCTTCGTATCAAGTGCCAGTTCTGTAGATGCAGACTCACAAATTCACAACTTGCAAGCGAGAGCACTTGCAATATACTCCCTGGTAGCGGTGCGCAGAATGCATACTGAAGCTCGGGGCCCGATGCCAAATTTCACCTTTTTGTGGTTCGAGCGCACCTTTTCGCGCCCGCAGTGTATACAGACAGCACAGCATGATACTCCCATGAGCACACATCAACCGGCAGCGTGGTCGATGGCCTACACTGTCTACACTTCTTAGGCTATGGTTCGATCGGACCCATGAAAGAGGAAGACCCTCTGGCTATAGCTTGACTCCCTAAGCCTAAAGTTAACCCTAACCCTAAACTCTACGGCGGATCCATGCAAAGGTTCCGATACTGACATGACGCACATCCTGGTGCTTCTGTCCTGTGTCCGTTGCTCAGCAAACCATGGGCTACGTTGCCAGAAGTCGCCTCGGAGGGTCGGGAGGAAGTCTCAGTAGCTGGGTGGATACACTTTAGTTGAGGGTTTAGGGGTTTAGGGTTTAGGGGTTTAAGGGTTTACACTTTTGGGGATAAGACTACCCACTATAAAACTAAAAGTGTAGACTTTTTGGGGCTTATGAACTTAGCAACTAAGAAGTAGATGGGAGCTGCGGGAAACAAGAGGCCCTTTAAATGCACACCTCCCAAAGTACGATGCTGGCACACAACCGCGATCCTTTACGAAGGCACACTGCTTCAGAAAGCATCAAGAGAAAGCCCTATCGTACCCTTTTTCTAAGGACCTTCTTACACAACCCTTTAAAAGGAGCCCTAAACTAAGCCCTAAACCCTAATCCCTAAACCCTTTGAAAAAAGACCCCAGGCCAGCTTCCTTGGCCTTCTTCCTGTGAGTCTTCTGGCGGAGCGCTTGGGAGGCAGCTGGCTACCTCGGCTGCCCGGACAGTTGAGGCCCTTCCTTGGAGGTTCATAGGTAGTTATAAGTTATTGAGTGTGGGTTATATCATAGGTAGTTATAAGTTATTATTGAGTGTGGGTTATAATTATAAGGGTTCCTTTAAGGGCCCCTTTAAAGGGCTCTATAGGGATTCAGGGTTTAGGGATTAGGGCTTAGGGTTGTTTTTAGTGGGGTTACAAGTCCTCTAGTGCGGGTTATAAGTATAGTCACTCTACTTAGAAACCTACTTATAACTACCCATGGACCTCCAAGTAGTTCAGGGTTCCAAATGGGTGGTTGTCAAAATTAGGGTCCCTTTTTGGGTCCGTATGATGATACGGCACCTACTCTCCACGGCACCCAAACAAGGGACCATAATTTTGACAACCCAAATATAGGGGCCTTAATGATTAGCACAGGGTTCCTTTAAAGGGGTCTACAAGGGCTAGTATAAGGATGTAGTATTCTAGGGGCGTAAAGAATTACCAATACTATTGTGGGGGGCTCCTTGTTAAAAATATAGGATGATGGGCCCCAAAACCCTATTCTAGTTCGTAAGGCCCCCATAGTAGTGGTTTATGATGCCGAATTTAGAGCGCCAGTATCCCCAGGCCCCTAACCTAATTAGTCAACCGACCCTCACCGCGAATCCCCCAAAAAAACAAAACCAGTAGCTAAACCCACACCTGTAAGGTGTGATCTGCTGGTCGAAAAAGGGGCGCCTAAAAAAAGGCTTCACACCTTAACCCTTGACTAGACTCTTCAAAGCCAAAGTGTGGAAGCCTCACTCTTCAATTGCTCCAAAAGCGCCCAAAACCTTGCAACGGTTGATGATATAAATCCTGCATTTCCTTAAGGACCCTAAACTACGGGAATTGTGGTATATTCCTTATTATGGGTCATGCAGGATTTATATCATCAACAGAAGTTACCCAACAGAACAAAGAAACCATCCATGTAGCTCAGAATGAGAGCTCCTCAACTCAAACCCCGAAACCCTCGAGCCGTCACCCATAAATCCCGAACCCTGAAATGATGACACTATGGCCCTATGTCTTAAGCCCAAACCCGCGGTCCCAACCCCTAACCCTAGCTCCTTAGTAGCTGAGTGGATACACTTTACACTTTTTGGGATAATATGACCCACTATAAATCCAAAAGTGTACACTTTTGGGGGGCTTATGAACTCAGCGACTAAGGCTCTGACACCCGAAATCAAAGTTGTTGTGAAAGCTCCGAGGTTCTTCCAATCCGCCGGTGGCCTCTTTTCCTGGGCTCCTCCAACGGCCTTCGCGGCCTGCGGAGATCTACAGGGCGTCTGGGAGTGGCTTGGGCTTGGGGGGTTTTGTGGGGTTTGGAGTTTAGGGCTTTCGGGTTGAAGGCGGGGAGTGTAGGCTTCAGGGCTTATCGGGGTTTAGGGTTTAGGGTTTAGGATTTAGGGTTTAGGGTTTAGGGTTTAGGATTTAGGGTTTAGGGTTTAGGCTTCAGGGCTTATTGGGGGTTAGGGCTTAATGGGGTGTAGAGTTTAGGGCCTATGGTTTAGGATATAGCTGTTGGAGTGCAGGGCTTCGTGGAAGATAAAGAAGGATTGAACTAAGTAGGCTGATTATCCCTAAGGGTCCATGTGTTCATATAGTATATATTACATTGGTCTTAATGTAGTCCCTATATAGGTACTTTGGGGCTCATGTATCTCTATATGGGTACATGGACCCTTAAAGTTTGCAGGGGTGTATATGGGACTACATGCGGAGTTTCCGCTAGATGGCCCCGCCCAAGAAAGTATAACAGAAAGTGCTGTGTTTAGAAGGGGCCACTTTCGTGGTGATTCCCGTCCTCCCATAAATATACATATGTATGTATGTGTGTATGTGTGCATGTATGTATAAAGATACATAAATGCCAAGTAAGAACCCCTAAGAAGGGGCCCTGACCGCAGGGATATTGATGGGAGGGTTTTCTGCTGTTCGTATGGGGTTGATGGCTCAGGGGTTGCATGGTTCCCCGCAACATTTAAAGCCATGCCTGCGGACCAGGCAGAACGTTGCAGCTTTCCGTGGCATCCCCTACGGCACACCGCCGGTGGGAAGCCGCAGGCGGAAACCCGAGCCAGGGGTAATGGGCACGAGCAAAAGGGGCAGGAAGGCTGCTCCAAAAAGGCTTTGCACGGGCAAGCCCTACCAAGCCGAACAAAGACCCAGTTCCTAAATATAGGGCCCCAAAAAAGCACATAAGCAAAAATTGGGATAGGGATATCCCATATAAACCCCGTTATAATGAAGCCCAATAAGGTATGGATATCCGTATGAAATGCTTATGCTTATGTGCATTTTGGTGTCCCTAACATATTCTGAACCCTGAGATTCTGGAGCAAGCCCAACAAAGCCTTGTATTTACCAAGGGCCATAGATCGTTGGAACAAGAGCGCCTGATGGTGTCTCGATTGATTGTTTGATAACGTGCCGAAAAGAATCTGTTGCTTTGTTGTCCGGAAATGTCGTGTCTAAAGTTGCCCACATAATGATAACTCCTGCCACACAATGATAACTCCTGCACTACAAGAGCCTCTTATCGCATCCCTTATACTATCCCGTGTAGAGTCCCTTATGGAGTCTAATTTAAGTCCACTATAGCATCATCTGCTTAGAGGGTCAGAATACGGTAGCATAGGTAAGGTAAGTGTAGGTGTATTTGCTTCCAAACTACGTTAAGGGTAGTACAACCCGAGGTATAGACAGTTCTAGACAGGAGCCCGTAAAGGAAGTCCTTAGAAGCACCCTCCCAGGAACCCTACCCTGCCAACACAAAAAGCCCGGAGAGGATACTATATTAGGGTTTAGGGTTTAGGGTTTAGGGTAATCTAAAAGCCAAAAACAACCTATAAGCCATAAACCAGAAGTAATCTTTAAACTGTCAACTATGAACTATAGTTGGTCTATGAACTATGAACTATAAAGGTTCTTCTATGGAAGCCCCAGTGGGCAGGTTTCAACTTTGGGGCCCTATACTACTAAGAGTACTCTATAGGAAGCCCCGTTAAGGGATCTACTTATTGGATCCTCCCGGAGGGGTCTGGAGGTTTCAACCCTAACCCCTAAACCCTAAACCCCCAATTTAACCCTGAACCCTAAACCCCTAAACCCTAAACCCCTAACTAAACCCTAAACCCTAAACCCCTAAACCCTAAACCCCTAATTCAACCCTAACCCCTAAACCCCTAAACCCTAGACCCCCAACTAAACCCTAAACCCCTCAACCCTAAACCCCTCATGCAACCCTAACCCCTAAACCCCTAAACCCTAAACCCCTAACTAAACCCTAAACCCCTCAACCCTTCTATGGAAACCCCAGAGGTTTCAACCGGCCGATCCGGCGCCTTGCTGGCCGGCAGGCACACGACTTACCTTTGGTTAGCAGGGAATGGAAGAATGGTGGTAGTAGTAGTAGTAGTAGTAGTAGTAGTAGTAGGAGTAGGAGTAGGAGTAGGAGTAGGAGTAGGAGTAGCAGCAGTAGTAGCAGTAGCAGTAGCAGTAGCAGTAGCAGTAGCAGTAGCAGTAGCAGTAGCAGTAGCAGTGGCAGTGGCAGTAGTAGTAGTAGTAGTAGTAGTAGTAGTAGTAGTAGTAGTAGTAGTAGTAGTAGTAGTAGTAATAGTAGTAGTTATAGGATAGTAATATGTTAGTAGTATGATAGTAAGATGGTAGTAATATGGTAGTAATAGTAGTTATGTTTGCACCCCATTCCTCCATTCCCTGCTAACTAAAGGTAAGACGAAAGAAACCCGTGCCAGGTGTCACACATGGCTCGGGGTATTCAGTGTTGTTTTAGGGTTTAGGGCTGGTTCCTTTATGCGCTCCTAGACAGGGTCTAGGGTTTAGAGCAGTTTTGGGTTCAGAGTTTGGGCTTTGGGGGTAATCTAGGCCTTCATAAGTACTAGTACTATCTTCTGGGTGATTTCTGCTAGTGCTTGTTGTTTTATGAGTAACCAAAGGAGCCTCAATAAGTACTGCTATTATTTTGTGGGTGGCCAGAGTTTACCGACCACGGTTCTGGGTTCAGGAATGCGGGCTTCGGGCATAGCCTCCAGTAGAAGCCCAAAAGTTGGAAACCGCATAGCCTCAATCCTTAAGAGCAAAATATAGGGAATCCCAGCACTATTTGGCCTTAATCAGGTTTCCAACTGTATGGGGTTTACTGTAGGGGTTATAGGGCTGTAGTTTAAGGGCTACGAATGCTCGGAACCCATAAACCCGACTCTGGAGTCTTTGAGCGCCCCTAAACTGCCAAAGAAACCCGACTTGGAGGTTCATTGGTAGCTATAAGTGGGGTTATAAGTCGCCGAATATGGGTCATAAGTATAGCTACCGTACTTATAACCCTACTTATGACTACCCATGAACCTCCAAGTACATCCATCTACCTGCTGAACCCTGAAGAATTTACACCCCCAAGCCCTGTAACCCCCCCCTCCACTGCTAAAACTCTTCGGGAACCCGTCTAGATCCCTCCTAAACACAGACTTCCCATACCCCTCTTTTATTCATGCCCTGAAGTGCTAAACTTCTCTGGAACCCTTGTAAGGTTATGAGGATCATGATGTTCCAACTTTCTAGCTTCTACTGTAAGAGCCGCTGAGTTTGTGGAGGAACCGTTTTCGATGCCTCGAAGAACGGGAACATCTGCTTTCAGAGCAAAGGCGGAGGCCCCGGCGAGAGCGAGGACCCTTTTGGGCGATGTAGGGCTTAAAGGGCTGGGGGTTGAGGGTTTCTAACCCGTAAGCTCTAGATTATAAACCCTATGGCAGCGGCCTCATATAGCAATCTTCAAAAAAAACCGTCCCAAAACCTTCATAGTAACTTCAAGTGTGCCCCCTTTATACGACCCTTAAGAAGAGCAGTGTTTAGGAAACCCCAAGATGTTGAGAAGCCCTGAGGCCCGAGACAGTTCTTCCAGGCCTGAGCCCTCAATATCCAGTGGTAGAGTAGGTAACCTTTAACCTTTTTGGGTTTAGGGTTTAGGGTTTAGGGTTTAGGGTTTAGGGTTTTGGGTTTTGGGTTTTGGGTTTTGGGTTTTGGGTTTAGGGTTTAGGGTTTTGGGTTTAGGGTTTTGGGTTTAGACCTTTTTGGGTAGTTTCGTCCCTGTACAATCCCAAAAAGACCCACAAAGGGTGAAGCTTTATTAGTTCTCCATGATACCCGACAAGTAGGAATATCTTGTGCAGGACTGCCTCAACCTGAACGTCTTCGCTCCAGCCAAAGCGCGAAACCTGCCAGTCTTCGTGTGGCTTTACATCAAAGTTTAGGATTCGGTTGTGTTTTCCGGAGTTTTTGTGGTTTACAGTTTTAGTGGTGTGTGTGTTTCGGGGTTCTGGGTTCACTTTGGGCAGGGCTTAGGCTATTGTTTAGGGTTGAAGGTTTGGGGGCTTACATTCTCCAGCTGAAACTCAGTTCATGGACCTCGCAACAATGTCGTATGCTTTCGAATCTCGAACTTCGTTTCACCCCATAGCTAAAGCGCGTCTCCCATATGTACGACTGTGTGTGAAAGCAGCTCGTAACAATTGATTGGCTGTGCCCCCTGAACTCTCCATTGTGCAGGCGCCAAAGGATTGACAAAACCCTGAACCCTCAAACCTGAAACGTTTCAACCCGAGTGCGCAACAGAACAAGGTGGATCTACGGCGGCTCCAATGTGCAGGGATCGGCGAGCCTTGCAATGAACCGAGGTGGAGGGTGGCTTTCAGGTTTACGATTCAGAGTTTTCGAAAACCGGATGTGGGTTTTCGGTTAGAGCTTGGAGGAACCTTTAGGGTTCAGGGTTTAGGCATCGTTCAGGCTGCAATGTATGAGTTTTGTGCTTGAAAGCCCTGAACCCAAGCCACTAAACTGCTGCAGTTTTGGTGGGGCACCATTTCTCAACTGACCTTGTGTCCAGCTTTTTGGTGCTTGTGGGCCTTGAGGGGATTGAGGCGATGTTGATGCTCCCTCCTAGGTTCTGGTTCTGTTTTTGGAATGAGGGTTATGATTATACTATAACATGCCAGAAGACTCATGCTATACTGCTATGGCTGATGATGTACTATAACATGCTGTAGTCTACGATGTACCTCGAATCCGTCCGTAGCAGCCTGAATCTGAGGAAGCAGACTCTCCGGATGCAAGGCCGTCCACCCCAAAGGCAGCTGTTGAAAAACTCCTCAACTCCGCTAGCGCCCAAAAGAAAACAGGTTGGCCCCTAAATTTAGGCACCGATTTGGGAGAACTATTTATTTTCTCTCATTGTTTTATATACTGACCTATTTGCAATTAATTTGATATTTGGAATGTTGAAATCCACACCGAGTGAACCTACCAACAAACTCTTTTCCGACTCACAGTTAGCCAAGGATCTCGGAATTTTACGGGCCCATCGAGAACATCGTCCGCCGGAACCCCTGCGTCCTCGTGGCCATGACGCTGGGCGAGTGAAGTTCATAGGAGGCCAAAAGGGGGTTTAGCCTATGGGGTTATAGTAGGGATCAGGGTTCCCATAATAGGGTTCATATTAAGGAACCTCTACCCCAAGAATCTTAAACCCCCCTTTTGGCCTCCCATCATAAGTGCGGCCTCAAGAAGCCCTAAGGGTCCATGTTCTCACAAAATATATGTAGTCCCTATATGGGAGTTTCCGAAAATAGGGGACCCCAATATAGTACCCTAAATAGTAGGATCCTTATTATAAGGGCCCCAGAATAAGGTACCCCTAATTTTAACGCTACGCCGCCCGCCTCGGCTGTGTAGCGGCAGGGCGAGGGGGCAGTCGATGTTTTTTTTATGTCTTTGTTTTCCTGCAAACCAGTTAAGGCCTTCCAGCCATGCCGCCCGGAGCAAGAAAAACAACACAGAAAGAGCCTGAAAAGAAAGACAGGCAGTGGATTGACGACGCAAAAGCCAAAGCGGTGGCGAGGAAGACGAAACGGGCGGGGAGAAGAAGTGGGAGCAGGAAAGAGGGAAGAAAAAGGGGGGGAGGGGGGGGGGGGAGGGGGGGGGGTGAAACCATAAACCTCTAAAGGGGTAGCTCTAACAGGTACCTACAGCAATGGCTGCATGCTCATACATATACATTCCGCTGCCCATTGGCTCACAGTGGTTTTACCATATTGAGACAAGACAAGCTCTCCTTGCGTAGCAAGACAAAACAACTACTGTCCGTGTGCAGGGCGCTGCCCTTTGATCCTTAGGGAATAACTGGTCATACACCTCCTAACAAGGAGTATTCCTTGTGGGTGTATCGGCACAGTTTTCTGGTAGCGGAGCCCGGAAAGGGCCGCCCGCCTCACAAAGTCCGCTACAGCGGTCGGCCTCGCCGAACGCTTGACCAAGCGGATAAGAGGCAGCACAATGTCGAGCTCGCATAGCGAAGCCGACGGCAGTTCCCAATCCTCCGGGGGATATGAGAACGAAGAGACCTCCCAAGGTCCAGCCACTTATGTCGCACAGTCATTTGCAACATCTGACCGCATGCTTGCATCATTAGGCATAACGCCCAAGATCGCGCCTGCCTATGATGGCACCACTTCGTGGTTTGAGTATGAACAGTTGATTGACGACTGGTGCGACATAACAACGCTGGATGACACCAAAAGAGGTCCGTCTCTCAAGACGAGGCTCTCCGGATTGGCCGCAGTACAAAAAGAATCACTTAACCGAGAAAGGCTTGCAGCCCCAGATGGAGTAGATTACTTCAAGAAGAAGATGCGTCCATTTTTCGTGAAAGGAGAACAGTACGTTTTCCTGTGGCGTTTCCTCGGCCTATTCAAGGCATGGAAGGGCAACCAAGACTTTGTGACTTGGATTGCTAAGTTTGAGATCGTGCTACAGCGCGTGAAAAACTCATGGATGGATCTCTTACCAGAGATAGCTCTGGAAGATGCCCATCCAGATTTCATGCAAGCTGTGCAGGCAGACCGAACCTTCCTGGGCCTACAGGAAGCAGCCGAGAGAGACACATACGCCGCACGCTATTTCGAAACATGGAACAAGGAACGCCTTGACAATCATCGAAGAGCGTTTCCTCTGAATGATAATCTCCTAGCTCTTCTCTTCCTAGTGCAGTCCGACCTAAATGAGATGCAACGTGAGAGGTTGGTAACAGCATTGACCAACCAAGGTCACCGAATTGAGACCTATACGTACCCTGTGGTACGGCAGACCATGTTCGATCAGTTCTCAACGACCAGAACTGGTCTGCAGGATCCCAACATTCGGCACTCTTCTCACAAGAAGGACCGCCATGGAAGGAGAGACCAACGCCGCAAACGCGGAGGTCGAAACTTCCTCATCCTCGATCAGGGTGAATACGACGGAGTCGATGGATTCTGGCTCCAAGACGAAGACACCCTTGAGGAAGGCTTTCTTGCCGCCGAGGATGAAGAAGCTGTCTTCTGGACAGTTGACGACCATGAAGCCTTCGTTGCAAGGAGATTCAAAAAGGGAAGAAGACCAAGAATGCGTCCCGGATCACCGGGAAGAGCAAAGGGTGGCAAGCGAAAAGGACGTGGCCGTTTTAGGTCATACCGCGGAAAAGGGAGAGCCAACCAGGCAGAACATGATCCAACTGATTCCAGCTATTTCGGTAAAGGTAAAGGAAAGGAAAAAGGAAAAGGTGGAAAAGGCAAAGGAAAAGGAAAGGACAAAGGAGATAAAGGAAGCTCCTTCAAGGGCTCAAAAGCAAAAGGCAAAGGTAAGGATACAGCTAAGTCTGCCTCCTTACAAGGAGACCAAACTGGATCTCCACAGGCCTATGAAAGTTCCACCGCACCGAGCTGGGATTCATGGTATGAGGACAGTTATTATACTGACTCCAGTTGGAATTATGCCGCTTATGACGATCAAACGTCTTATACATACTATGCATCACAAGCCTCACGAAGAAAGACACGGAGAAAGAAGAGAAGAAATCAAGCAGGATCATCAGGTAGAGGCACAGATCCGAGCGCGCACCAAGAACCCGTGTTCAACTCATCAGTGAGTTACGTGCCCCAGGTCTCTGAACCATCCGAGGGGCAAGGTGTTGAAACTGCAACAGCGGTGTTTCCGTTGCAGCACACCGTCCTATCTGCTCTCACAGAGCGGATCAATCTTGATAAGAGCCCTACCTTTGTCATACTTGACTCAGGTTGTACTAGGGCTATGGGTTCCCGCTATGCGGTGAACAGGCTTATCAAGGCCGTGAAGCAACGTGCCCCAGGCATGATTGATTTCACTTTTTCACCTTCGAACACGAAGTTCTCTTTCGCAGATAGTGAAACAGCTCTTATCAAGGAGCGTGTAACTCTATGGTTCAACACAACTCCAAGAAGAGATACAACCATAGAAGTTTTGGATCAGGGGAGAGTCCCCATTTTGTTTTCCATCGAACAGATGAGGAATTTAAGAATGACCCTCGAGTGTAGTCCCACAGCTGACCTAGCAACGTGTGAAGCTTTCGGTTTGTATAAAACCCCTCTTCCGATTAGTACCAATAACCATTTGGTATTGGACCTTCTAGGCTTCACTTCCACCAGGAAGTATCTCCCTAAGTCAGGTACGTCGTTCAGTGCGACGGAGACTGCTCTAGGAGCCAAGAAGCCTTATACTAGGATACCGGAAGGTCGCTGTCCAGCCTGTGCCGGACAGAAAAGGGCTCACACGTACCTCAAGGGTTGCGACAAAGCACCTGAGGGAGCAGCTGATCCACCACCGAAGAGGATTTCAGGTAAAAAGAAGCCTCTTCCATCTGATCCGGCAGAATCATCTGCCAAGAAACTTGATCCACCAGAACCATCTGGTGATGCTCCTGAGCCTTCCGGACCATCGGAACCATCATCAGGCTCTAGGGACAAACCTGCAGAATCCTCTGCACCACATGAACCTCCAGAAGAAGAAAGACTTGAGGTCCCACCTGCGAAGATAAAGACTCCAAAGGGTCTTAAAAACCTTCTGAAGAAATCCCGCAAATATGCGGTTAAACCTCCTGTTGAAGAGAAGTCTAAGGTCCCAGGAGCTGATGACGGGACGGAGGTAAGACCACTTGAGTCAAGAGAATACCCGGCTCCTGGTACAGACTCACCTACAGGTGAAGAGATTGTCGCGGAACCATCGCCATCTCTTCCCATTGCTCTTCGCAGGATTCATGAGAAGCTTAAGGACCCTGTAGAACTCTATAAGCTTCACCTTAAGCACCGTCATATGAGTACGGATCAGTTCAAGCGACGCACAAAAGCCTTACAGATCCCAAAGGAGATATACGAGCTATATGACCAACTGGTCAAAAAGTGTTCAGCCTGCCAGGAACATGTGAGAGCTCCTTCAAGAGCGAAGATTTCTGGTTTAAGATCAGAGACTTTCGGTGATCTCACCTTCGTAGATCACGGTGAGCTTCCAATTCCCGGCAAGGATAGTCGCTTAGTATTTCTTATTCTCTATGATGGAGCAACAAACTTGTTGACTGCCGAAGTAGTCCAGGATAAAGAAGAACATACTACAATGTCGATTATGAATGACTACTTTGAGAAATTTCAGATCAACCCAAAGGTTGTAGTTGGAGATCAAGCATTCATGACTCCAAAAATGGAGGCTTATTACAATCGGCAGAATATCAAGCCTGTGGCAACAGGACCTGGAACACCATGGCCCAACAGGGCCGAAGCTGCTGTAAGATTGCTGAAGCATCAGATTAAGCTCATACTTCAGATCCTGAAGGATGGTGACCCGCAGTATAACGGAATCACCATGAAGTATGGCAACCTCGTTCGCCAAGCATGTTTGGCAAGAAACTCTTCGATTACCTACGGAGGAGTTACTCCTTTAGAAATGGCCTTTGGAAGGCGTCCTCGAGATGTTATAACACCAGAGAACGCTGATCCCAATCAGTTGACAGGTAATCCAACTGATACGGAAGTCACTGCGAGAGCCATTAAGGAGCTTGCCAACAGGGCTTACCAAGAGGCACGCCAATCTGATGATCTGCGTAGAGATCTTGCAGCCAGACTGTCAATGACCCAAGGACCTTTCTCTTTGGGAGATAAGGTTTTCTACTGGTCAGAAGATAAGTCTAAGATTGGATCCACTGGGTCCAAACATGGATCTTGGCTAAAAGGAAAGGTGATCTCCGAACTCGGAGGATCCATGGTAGGTGTGGATCTTGGAACACGCATCGTCCGCGTCAATATCTCAAAACTGAGGAAAAATTATGACATAACATCTGATGTGGAGATTCCTCTCGCGCCTGATGAGGAAACTCTGACGTCAGAAGGTTCTGACCACGCAAGTTGCATGGTCACCTTCGATGCTTCCCTGCAGTCGACAGACCTAACGGTTCCACATCAAGAGTGTCACTGGCAGGTCACCAGCACTGGGAAGATTGACTTCCTAGAACTCTACGGCGGATCTCCCCGCATGAGTCACAAAGCTGCCCTGTCAGGTCTGCGAGTAGGTCAGCCAGTCGA